CGCGCCACTTGGCCCCGCAATCGTCCACCCCGTCCACAATCGTCGTTTCTCCATGCCCACGCCCAACCACCTGCAAGCGACGAGCCCCGACAGTGGCGGCGGCGGGCGGACAGGGGTCACGCCGGCATGGCCTTGTCTCCTTGCACCGCGGCCACGCAACATCACGTGAGCCGTCGATGCATCGCACGCTCTCCACCGCTCGATCGCCGCCGCCATGCATGGGAGCATGGAGCTCGGTTATAAACCCCGCCTCGGATGCCCGAAGCGCCTCTCTGTGCCCCCGCCCATACCTTGTGGCCGTCCACAAAGACACCCGAGCCAAGAGAGAAGAGGGAGAAGAGGAAGAAGGGGGACGCCAAAGCCGCCGCGAGGGGGGAAGAGCTTGCTTGTCGCCGGAGCCGAGGCGACGCCGTGCTGCCCTCATCACGGTCGGGGTCGGCACGCACTTCCTTCCGAGCTACACGGCCGCAACCCGCCACTGCACCACCATCCTATCTCCCACAACACCTATGGTGAGCCTCCCGGTCTCTCCCTGCTCGCCGCTGGACCTTACCATGTTGGCCATGGCGCTCCACACCGGGAGCGCGTAGGCCAAGGCCATCTCCGGCCTCTAGGAACACACACACCCACGCGCACACCTGCGACCACGCCATGACCGCCCTACCGGAGCCCCGTGGTGCACCCGCGCATGCACGCCGCGCTCATGATGCCGCCATCGTACCATGCACCACTACTCGCGCGCCCGGCCGCCTCACCGGACTAGGACATAGTCGCAGCACCGCCATGATGTCTGGAGAACAGCCGCGTAGACCGAGTCGTCGATAGCCGACCGCGGTGACTTGGCCACGTGCACAAGACCACCACCAGACCTCCACCATGGCCGAAGCAAGCCGCCACCATGGCCAAAGCCACCGGAGGCCCTAGAAGACCCCTCGACCTGCCCAACATGCCCGCTGGAGCATTATGATGCTCACGCACACCACAAACCCGGCCTATGCCGCTGCACCCGCGCCACCCCCGCACGTCGGTTATGCTCGAGCCACCGTTCACCGTGGCCAGCGACCTAGGAAGCCCTATCCGTCGCCCCGACCCCACCGTTGCAATCACCATGGCACGGGGAGACTTTTCCCCACCTCAATTGGACGCCTGAGCAGTTGCGAGAGCTCGCCGGTGAGCACGTCGCCGGCGGGAGCACACCGTGGAAGAAACAGAGGAGAAGGGGGCGAGTTGAGCAGCGCAGCCCTGCACCCGGTGCACATGAGCCGAGCCGAGAGGGAAGGACGATGGACTTGGTCCACCATGGACCCTGCCTTAGGTCCATGGACCGTGAACTTGGGTCCATCGTGAGCAAGAAAAACGGCCCAAAGAAGAGCCTTCCACGCCACGTGGCGGCGCCACAAAGACGCCACATGTTGGGTCACCCGGCCGGCACCGGTCCCAAATCAAATTTCATTTGGACCCGGCCCATGTTGGCCGTTGACCGGTCAACGCTGGCCGTTGACCTGGCCCCACATGTCAGTGGCACAGACACACTAGACCCACACGTCAGATGTTGACGACGTGATGACGTCCACGCTGACCCACTGCCGATGCAGCAATGACGGCCGAGGTGACGCTATGCCGACATCACGCCGACATCATCGGCCGGCCGACGCCGCAGCCCTCGCCCCACACGCCGCTGACTTCGACCGTTGACCGTAGACCGTTGACTCGCCGTTGACTGATGTTGACCTTGACTAGACCCACATGTCAGTGACCCAAGAGCCCCTGGACCCACCTGTCGGAACTGACGACGTTGATGACGTCATGCTGACGTCAGCTGGACCCCACCTGTCAGCTCGGAACCGAGACGATGACGTCATGCTGCCACGTGGACCAGTCACAGCGTGACACATGTCAGCCCAGGATTAATTCAGCCTTTTTCATTTTCAGAAATGGATTTAATCTTCGGAAATTCATAACTAATTCATATGACCTCAGAAAAATACAAAATCAGGACCAAAATTCATCTAAAATCAAGCTCTACGTAATGAACCCATGTTTGAGTGCATTTGGCTCTTTTGATTTTTCATTGCTTCTTTGTGCCATTCTATAGACGTCGCTAATGCGACTATAATACGATTGTTTGCAGACTCGGAGGAGAACCGGACGGACGAGGATCGTGAGTACCGTGAGGAGTACGGAGACGACTACATTGAAGGTGCCACATCCCACCCAACCTCGTAGCACCTATTACGCATGGCTAAAATAGAAATGTTAGTGTTTTACTTTATTGTTGTAATCACACTATGATAGGACTTGCATGGTAGAATGCTTTCTTGATGGCCTTTACCTTGACACAACCTTACCCCTGCTCACCCTGCTGTTAGGCTAGTCACACGCTTGCTATTATATTTCATTGCTTATTGCTTCTACTACGCTTGCACTACATTGATGCGTGGTGGAAACTGGTGATTGGGGAGAGTGCTGCGTGTGTGACTTGGGTGCGTGGAGGGTGAGGGTTGAGATTTTACTAACCTCGACTATGAGTGGATTGAGATTTTCAACCATCAATTTTGAAACCCTTTACTTTTCAACCCTCGACTACCAACACCATTCTCTTTTCATAAGCCTAACTCAAACTTGGTTGTTTAATCTTGTTGTGTTATCAAATATACATGCATAGTGTGTGTGAATAAATGGTGACAATGAGTAGAGTCCTGTTTTTGCGAGCCACCATTGAAGTACATCCAAGAAATAGGACCCTTAAAAATTGAAAGAACTTTCAAATAAAAAAGAGTAAAAATCACCAGCAGTCCTCAAAGCTGTCTAGAGGTATCATCTAGGTCTCCGAAGTCCCAAAATGCCTTTTTGGCTTTCTAAAGTTGTAACAGGTCTCCTTCAGGTCGCAACGGGAATTTACCCGACCCGCTATCCTATGTAGCACGGGTCCGACAAATGGGACCCACATGTCAGCAACTAGGCTTCACCTTAGAAAAAATAGTATCTTTCTCATACGATCTCAGATGAAGATTATTTTTATATAAAAATTATAGCTCTCGATGAGATATACAACTTTTTAGTTTTGTTTTTTTATTAGAGATCGTAAAGATACTAAAAAATAATATAAAGTTTCAGCAACATATTAATCAAGTACGGGGTTTGTTGCCTTCCAAAAATCATATCTTTCTTGGATGGTGTCGGATAAAGATATTTTGTTTATAAAAATTGTAGCTCTCGGGGAGATATACAATTTTTTGGTTTTGATTTTTTTATCATTTGATGTTGTTAAGATGCACAGAAAAATAATACAAACTTTTAGCATCATATTAATCGTGTGCCAGAGCTTGTCGCTTTAAAAAATCATATCTTTTTCTTTGGTGTTGGATAAAATACTTTGTATATCAAAATGTATTTTTAAAGAGATATACAACTTTTTTGTTTTGAGTTTTGGCCTTGTTTGCTTTGCTGAAAAGCCATGGCTGAAAGTACTGTTCGCTAATTTGTTGTGAGAGAAAAATATTGTTCATTCGCTGAAATAGTATGGCTCATAAGACAAGCGAGCAGGGCATTTGTCATTTGAGGTCGTTAAAATACTCAAAAAATAATATAAAATTTTAGTAACATATTAATCGTGTACCAGGGGCTTGTCGTCCTAGAAAAGTCCTATCTTTCTTGTATAGTGTCGGTAAAGATAATTCGTATATAAAAAGTACCTCTCATAGAGATCTATAACTTTCCGGTCTCGAATTTTGTTATTTGAGGTCGTTAAGATGCTAAAAAAATAATATAAAGTTTAGCAACATATTAATCACGTACCAAAGTTTACCGTCTTAAAAAATCATATCTTTTTGTATGGTGTCGAATAAAGATACTTTGTATAGAGAAATTTGTAGTTGTCGATGAGATCTACGAAATACTAGTTTTGTGTTTTCTTATTTGATACTAGTTTTGTGTTTTCTTATTTGATGTCATTAAGAAGCTCAAAAGATTAGTTTGAGAAATATATTAATCACATTTTGTATCAATTTTGTTTTAAATCTAAATAACTTCAAATAAAAATTTCAAAACTAAAAAATTATAGATCTCATTGAACGCTACAACTTTCAATACAAAGTATCTTTATTCGACACAGGCTTGATTTTTCTAAGGCGACATGCTCTAGTACGCAATTAATACTTTGCTAAAAATTTATATTAGTTTTTGAGCACGTTAACAATCTCAAATAACAAAACTCAAAATTAAAATTTATAGATCTAATCGAGAGCTACAATTTTTATATATAAAATATGTTTATTTATCAACACCGTACAAGATAGATATATTTTTTTAAGCGAAGAGCTCTGGTACACTAATATGCTGCTGAAACTTTATATTATTGTTTTAGCGTATTAACAATCTCAAATAAAAAACTCAAAACTAAAAAGTTATAGATCTTATCAAGAGCTATAATTTTCATATAAAAATCATCTTCATCCACGATTTTTCTAAGACAGATTCTTATCACTGACATATGAGTCCCATCGTGCCACATAACCATGCCACGTAAGGTAACAGGTCATGCCACCTAAGGTAACAGGTCAGGTAAACGTCTGTTAGGACCTAGATAAGACCTATTACAATTTTAGAAAATATATTTTGAGACCTCGAGGACCTAGATGACACATGCGACCATTAGTGAATTTTACTCAATAATATAGGGATTCTGATTGCTCTCGGTGAAGTTGCTCTAACTGGCTCCATAACAAAAGCCAATTCCACATATGAACAGCAACGCTAGAGACCGGAAACGTTCATTCATTTATACATTTCTCTCTACACCCGACGCTAAGATTGCTACCTATTATTTACAGGCTCAGAAACTTTGTTTCCGAGAAAGAATGCAACTACAACTGAGCGAATGTACACGTACAACTCCTTGTCAAAACTTACATATCTACAAAAACAATTCATCAGGCCACCTAATCTTTGTATGACAGCTGCTACGCCCAGTTCTTGCTGTGCGCAATAACAAAAATGAATCAATCCTGCGATGTTGCTGAGTACTCGAAGAGAAGCCTATTGGATGGGGTAGACTGGAAGAGAACACGGAGCCTACTAGTTAGCTGATATATCAGCGTCCACTGCATCGCCATTTCTGAATCTTTCATTTGCCTGACGACAGAGGCCTGCACATTGACGACAGCAATTTAGGTCAATTTCTATTCAGTACAACACATTGCACCTTATCAGGCTGAAAGGTTTAACTTGTTTCCTTTTTGAAAAAAGAGTGTATACCTGAAGGCGTTTTCCGAGCTGCACTTCAACCTCCGTGGCAAAAGAGATATTTTTTGCCAGAGATTTTAGTGGATCAACTGTTGGATCCACAGAGAGTAAACTTGGGATCTGCGGAGCATAAACCAGTCGCCACCGTGCCTGTCCAAACTCTCCCTTGCCTTCAATCCTTGGCATCAAAGTTTCCAGCGTTGCAGTTGCAAGCTTCTTGAATGCAAGCTGTCCGTCACCTTCTAATAATGATTCTGCAAGCTGTGATTCGAAAACCTTTGCAGCCTAAAAGACAAGGAAAGCAGGTCTAAGAACTACATATTAATATATGATAGAAAAAGAACGCAGCAAACCAATTCTTTAATGATTCAAAACTTCGTGCACTGTTGGAAATAATCCTTTGCGCCTACGTGCATGCTAGTGTCCAGGTTCCTAGACTACTTTAGCTAAATTTCAGCATGGAGTAATAGACTGATTATTTTGGTAATATTCTGCATTAATTAGGAGGCTATCACAGCCATAATTGTAGCTCTCAGCACTGTATAAAGCTAGAAGGAAAATCAGAAAAGACTAAGTCATTCCAGCCACAAAACCAATGTGTTCGTGTATTTGTGTGAGTTCCTGGTGATCTGTTAGAGGCTATTTGCCTGTCATGCGCTTGTCTAAAATGGATTGAGCAAACACCCAGCAAGAGGTACATAAAACATAAGAAAATTCACCTGATTATATAATAGTTGAAGATTTGAAACTAAAGCAAGGTGTTATCGATCCTACAGTAAAGTGACTCGGTTTATAACTCACTGCAGAAGTCTTACCTCACTAGGTGACAGAACATTCTGGTCCACAGAGCGTGTTGAGGTTACCACCAGATTGTCTTGCCACATGCTTGCTCGACTTTGGATTTTGAATTGCCATTCAGATCCAACAAGAACGAGATCAAGAACAGGATCCAAACCAAGATCAGGTTCAAATTTTGCTGCATTTAAATGATCATTTTTAAGTCTAACCTGCAATTGAGTACAGAGAGTAAGAACCATCATAACCATATCAACTTGAATGTATACTTTGATAAAATGAAGATATTCTAAGCAAGGGCTTAGGGAAGTAAGGCTTACTTGCGTTGCTACCAGGTTGACCTCACCATTTTCAAATGTTAAGACGCCCTTAGGTCTTATATACTTTGGATGAACCATCCCATTAAGCTCTAGGTCACCACTGCCGGCAAAATTCAGAATTAAAGGATAAACAATCCTTAGTTCTGGTCCCAAGGTGAGCTTCAGATCATTTAACCGTGCATCAATGTTTGGCTTAAAACTTCCATGCTCAAGTGTCTTTTCTGTGTCTGATTGATCTCCTAGTATATAGAGATGGAAAGCTTTAGTTGGCTCATTAAGGAAATAGCAGAAGTGCTGGAGAAAAATGGCATATAAAAAGCAAAGAATATGCCACTTATTTCATGCCAAAATTGGATTTTTCTGGTTGGGCATACTGATGTGCAAGTGCAACAACATAAGTAGTTAAGCAAAACATGTTGGCCAAGAGTATTTGGTGGAAAAATATGAGTGAAGCTCAAATTTAACTGAATACATACTGTCTGCAGATGTTGACAGTGACCCCAGAATTCGTGAGACGTCCTGCGAAGTGGTTGATTGGTCAAAACCAGAAAGAAGATAACTCGACTTGTTTGAAGTCAACCTAGTGACGGCAGCACCATTGCCTTTATCATGAGGCAAATATGCTTCACCATGACTCAACCGGATCATCCCAGAAAGATCTGGTCGCAAAATTGAGCCTGTAACTTGCAGCTGACTGTCTACTTGGCCACTGCATAAGTCAGCACAAAAACAACAAAACAAATGTTAAGGCTCATATAACTCCACAGCGTTGCGTGTTACGTATTACTCCATCTAGTCACAAATGTCAAGGGCATATTCTACAGTCGGCATTGATTGACCTATCAATTTACGATATGCATGTTAAGGTCAGCATATTATTGTAAATGCATTAAATTAATCTTGAAGGCAGTACCAATTACACTATTACAATGCCCAACCCAGGATTCTGAAAACCTCATAGGCTAAAAAGCTCTAATATGGAAATAAGTAACTAGTAATGTATATACCCCTCTTTAATGCCACTGCCAGTAAGCAATATGTAGGAGCATTCAGAGGAAACACTTACCCTAAAATGATGTTGTGTTAATCTTCTTGGCTATTCTCTAAACTAAAATCATCCTAGTACTCCTAGGTACTTTTTTTAATTCTATTTTCTTCCTTCATTGCCCTTGCTTAACAAATGGCACCAGTCTCCTAATAAATAAGCCACGTTTTCCAATTAGTACAAATGAACGGCAAAAAGACTATTGGACCTACTTTCTTAATCCTTGTGCACAGGTCTAAAATGATCTAAATTTTGCAATCAGAGGGAGTATCTATTTTAGACTGGAGCATATACCCTATAACTTAGAAACAATGCAATTATTTATTTTGATAAACAAAAGGATAAAGAAACAACAATGACCTCAAAATATTTTTTGCTCGTATGTCCAGAACTTCACATTTCAAATCAATCTTATCGTTGGCAGATGGCTTGCTATTTTTAAGAGGCAGGGTCCCTTTCATTGACAATCTCCCTTTCCTCCCAACCCTGCTTTCCATTGAACTGATGCATAGCCTGTTGGATATGACTTGAATTGTACCCGCAAAATTCGTCAATGGTGTCCGAAGAAAGGGAGAATTCACAATTGCTCGGTTAAACGTTGCTGACCCATCAACAACAGGCTGATCAACAGTGCCTTTAACCTTGGTAAATAAAAGACAAGGGCAAAATATCAACAACACAGTTTCACGTTAGATCCATAGGGGTGAAAAGTTTCTAAAGATTTCACAAGGACAACAAAAGAACCCGTATATAAACACAATACAATAGTTTGAGTTCACACTATATTACTGAAAAGGATTTGGCCAACTAGTCAGAGACATAGACTGTCACTAATAGAACAATAGGAATTAAAAAAGAATACCTGGAGGAGAACATCAGCATAGCCTTGAAGCCAGTTTGCATAAGGACTCAATGCAGTTATCAACATCATACCCCCATCCTTTATATCTGCATCTATCCTCACTTCACCTGGTTCTAGCATGTTATAACTTAAACCTTTAAGTTTTTCAGCTAATTGAAATTCCCAGCCCTCCTCCGTCTTGTCTCTCACAATTCTTGCTTCACTGATCTCATTCGATGATCCTCTGTCTCTTGCCCAAACAGGGATTCTTATGATACCTTGTTTCCCATCTGCCTCTTCTGGACTTTCCTCTATCGAGCTGTTGTCTACATAAGTGACTGGGATACTACCTTGAATGTTTACATGTCCACTTTGTATTATCGGTTCGAAATTTGCATCAAATACGAAACGGCTCATATGGGTAACAGAAGCTAATACTTCTGCTCTTCCAAGATCGATGCCTCCAATAGTGCCATCAAGCAGCCTTATTTGAACATCACATTCTGGTTTTGCCAGAGTACCTCTCAAGTCTCCCTCCATGTGCAAAATACCTTTGATGGGAGTCAACCATTGCCTCAGAAAATGAATTGAGTCTGTGGTTGATGATTCTATAGCCTGAACTAAAGCTGGTATAAGGCCAACTGGGAAGTTAAGCACAGCAAAGTGAAGATTTGTAAGCGGCCCAAGAATCGACCCATCAGCATGAAGGGTGGCATTATCTTTCTGAATAAATAATTTATCTAGTCGCAGACCATCATTATTGCTGAATGAACCAGATGCGAGAACACGCTGTGTCTTGTAAGTTCCCCATTCCCAATCTTCACCATTGAAATCAAAATCTGCCTGTGGTACATAAGTGTGTTATGATCATGCATATGTACATGCAGAACATAGTCAACCATAACTGTAGGATAATTATCTTGTTGAAGGGATAAAAAAGAATGAAGCAAGTCACACACAGATAAAAACAAATACGGAAAGAAACAAATGGAAAATAAAATTGAACAACAAAATACATGTTCACTTGTGCTTCTTCTCAATTGTTTTAGAAATCCTAACAAAAAGGCAACTAAAAAGGGCCAGTTTCAGAACATGCTCACCATCGTATCCCCATTACCACCTCCACTAGCATCAAGAGAGCCACGCCAATAGCCTCTTAGTTCAGCTAAGCCAGGAAGCGTTATATCTTCCATTGTGTCATCATCCAACCAATCATGATACATTTCTAATGCCTGGAGCAAGTAACAAGGTCAAGTTCAATATAAAGAATCATGTCATCATGAGACCATAAACCATAGCATTAGACTAGCCATCAAAGTATCAAACCCTATGCCAGTGGATCTACTTGACTACAACACTAGCTTTAGTACAATACCTTTAGCTGATCATGAAGACTTTCAGCATTGAACCCAACAGAATGCAGACATTGCATAAAAAGTTCCTGAAAACAAAAGGAGGGTTATATGGTGCTCTGCCCTCTAATAGACATAAATACCAATAAGTATTTTATCCAACCATAGAAAAAGCAGATTTGAAGGACCAAATGTGTACCTTTGATCTCGATCGAATAACTGGGTCTGTACTCCGTGAAAGAAGCCTTGCTAAAGGAAGCATTTCAGCTACTTCAGCACCAGGAACCTCTAGTCGCATCCTCCACCTGCCCATCGAAGACATTATGCTACCAAGATGCCCTCCCATTGCTTTCTCTATGAACCCATTACTCTGACTTTCCACAGGAAATCTATCACGTGTTCCAGGAAAAACATACTCCCCTTGAACCTCATACTTGCTATTAGCTTGCTCCAGGATAGATTTTTCCATAGTAATCTGTGTTTGAATATATTAAAGAAAAAGGCTAGTGAGAGAGAAAGAGAGGGTTCCAAAATAGTAACTAAAAGTAAGACACAAACCTTGCTAGAAATGGATAAATAATGACAGAAAAACCTATGGATGCATGATGCATTCACACCATACACCAATTAGTCTGTGCTAACAACTGCAGATTACTATCACTCCTAGAGATCAAAAGCAGAGTAAAACTGATGATTGCTGAGGGTATATACGTCTAAAGAAGAGTATGGTCAGAGATTGAGAACATTAATAAGTGACTTGTTTCTACAGTGTCAGCGTGTCCTTGATTCTTTGGCTCAGTGAAGGTGATGCCAACACAGAACTCTTCCATCTACATGTCAACACCGAAGAAGAAAGAACTTCATAACCAAGCTCATCACTGAGGAGGGACAGGTGTTCACAAGCCATGAAGATAAGAAAAAAAATCATTCTTGATTTTTATAGTCAGCTGCTTGGGGAAAGTGTTGATTGAGATGTCATGGAAGACTACCGGTCTCTTGCCGGCAAACAAAGCACCAGGACCGACGGTTTTACAGAGAAATTTCTATCAATGCTGTTGGCCAATCATTAAAGACGATGTGATGACAGTGGTTTCAGCTATATGGAGCAGAAAGTTTATGAACTTTGAGCAGCTTAAGTCGGCATATATCACCCTCTTGAAAAAGGATGAGGCTACAAGCATCAGGGATTTTAGACCTGTAAGTTTGGTGCATTCCTTCATTAAAATCGGAATCACGGTGTGCCTGTGTGTTTGATGGTGTTCCCCCAAAAATGGCGGGTGCCTTACTGCTTGCAGAAAAAGAGGCGCAGCTTTGGGGCATGGATGCAAGGTGTCGGGTATCGATATTAGGGATACCCGGAGGAAGGAAGTTAACGGCCACGAACGTTAATTCGCCCGGATGGTCCAAGACGTATTTAAGGTCTCGCCCGACCCCGAGGGCGCAGGCCCCGTCTCGCCAGACCTCAAGGGCGCGGGCTCCGTCTCGCCCGACCCCTCGGGCGCGGGCCCCGTCTCGCTAGACCCCTCGGGTGCGGGCCCCATCTCGCCGACCCCTCGGGCGCGGGCTCCGTCTCGCCTGACCCCCGAGGGCGCAGGCTCTGTCTCACCAGAACCCTCAGGCGCAGGTTCCGTCTCGTCCGACGGGGATCCATACCGCCTCCAACCACTACGGGTCTAAGAGTACGACCCCAGGGTCAAACCCCTGACACCGGGAGGGAAGCGGGCACGTCTCGACGTGACCCGTGACCACGACGGACCATACCTGGGGGCTCACGTCGCCAACAGTGTCGAGTGTGCCGGTGCTGTGCTGCCTAATCTCCATACGGCTTCTGACAGGAGTACCTGTTGACCACGCCGCCAGCAGAAACGGAGTGGAGCGCCGCGACCGGCTGACGACGCCTGTGTACAGCGCCAGTGATGAACAGAGCCGCGACGTGGAGCCGTCCCCGCCATCATCTACAGGACCGGCAGGACCCGCATAAAGGAGATGAAGGACGCCGTGACCCTAGACGCCTTCTTCTCTCTCGCTTTTCTCCTTTTCTCTCTCTTTTTCTCTCTGTAACCTGCGCCTTCCCCTTCACCTATAAAAGGGGAAGAAGGACGCCCCATAAAGGAGAGAGGCACGAGCACACAGCAGAACGAGCTCAACAAGACTCAACTCCGTTCGATCTTTTCACCAGAGACTTGGGACCTTCTCCCTTTCTCGCCCGTTTGTAACCCCTGCTACAAACTAGTGCTGGTAACATGAGCAGCAGCAGACTGGACGTAGGGACATTCCACCTGAACCAGTATAAATCATTGTGTCATCCGAGCACACCATCCGGGTCAGACGCGCAGATACAAATTTACTAGCCGGTGATCCAAAACACCGACAGTTGGCGCGCCAGGTAGGGGGTTTGTGCGCGTCTCGACGTCCACATCAGGCCTCGGATGGCTAGTCGCTGCGTCACCTAGGTCCCGGACGCGCACATGCGCTTCGGGAGCCTGGACTTCATCATCACGACGGAGGGAGAGTTGGCGCAGGCTCCCGCCACCGTCCAGCCTCTCCACTCCGCTAGCCTCGACGCGACAGTCGAGGCGCTTGAGGAGCTGCAGCTGCACGCGCCGAAGGCCCGTGTTTCCGGGAGCGACCGGCTCCTCGGCTTCGACTACGGGAGGCGGAAGCGCCAACTCGACGCCTTCCTGGGACCCCGACCGTCCCAAGAGGAGCTGCGCTGCCTTACTTTCTCCTTCGCCAACGCCAAGATGCAACTCGCCGGAGGGGAACCTCTCCCCGGAACACCTCACCCGGGGCGCCCCGGCAGCATTCCCGTTCGGTCTACGCAATACTGCGGGGACCGTTGGCCACCTCGTGGCGCAGCGCATGCACCCATCCCCTACGAACGATGGGTTCGTGGGGATGACCGAATACGTCGCGGAATCTTTCCACGACCTTCTCGCGGGAGATTCAGAGTCGCTCTCCGACTCTGACTCCAGCAGGGGGAGCCATCACCCCTCGCGAGAATGTTTTATGGCAGGTACCCCCGAGGGACGTGTCGAAAGCGTCCACGAAGGAGGGGCTACCCCACCAAACGATGCAGGGGCCCTTCCTCGCATGCGGGTGGAACAGCTAAGGGCACGGCACCAGGAGCTCGAGGATGCATGACTCCAACTCGAGCAGGAGCGCGCAGAGCTCGAGCGAGAGATCGAGCGCCACGGAGGCGGTGGGCGTGCGCGCGCCATGGCCCCCAACGTGAACCGGAGGATCATCGAAGACGATGGAGCCCTCCCACACTTCGCCCGGGTAAGCCAGAACATCGCTGCCACAGCGGCCTTGCTTCGAGGGCTCCCGGAGCCCGCGACACCAGAGGATTGTCGGGCCCATCACGAGATCCACACGCCGCCGAAAGGCCGCTGCGCGGCAAGCAAGCAGTGAGAGCTCGCTCTCAAGAACGCGAAGCTCCGCGCCGGCCAACGGCGTGCGCCTGGGGATTTACATGTCGGGGCGTTCGCCCACCGTGTGCCTCGCCGTGGCCCCGGTGCATGAGCGTCTCGGCCTCCACCGTGACGCACGTAACACCCTGGATGCCCGTAAGCGTGGACGAAGCGACGAGAGAGACGAAGCCGGCCGCGGCTACCACCCTCGTCGCGGTGGACGCTACGACAGCGGCGAGGACCGGAGCCCGAGCCCCGACCTGCCGGGACCTCAGGCCTTCGGCCGACACATCCTCAACGCTGCCTTCCCACCGCAGTACCGACCGCCGACCAACATCCCGAAATACTCCGGGGAAATGAACCCCGGACTGTGGCTCGAGGATTACCGGCTTGCTTGCCAAGCCGGTGAAGCGGATAGTGACAGTTTCATTATCCGCAACCTCCCATTGTTCCTGGTCGATTCGGCGCAAACTTGGTTAGAGCACCTTCCGCCCAACCGAATTCAAAGTTAGGCGGACCTAAAGGAGATTTTCGTGGGAAACTTTCAGGACACCTACACGCGTCCTGGGAACCCGTGGGATCTCAAAAATTGCCGACAGAAGTCCGAGGAAACTCTTCGAGAATACATCAGGCGCTTCTCCCAGCAGTACAACGAGCTATCCAACGTCGCCGACGTTATAGGAGCCTTCCTGTGCGGGACCACCTGCGAGTCCCTGGTTCACAAGCTGGGACGCAAGGGCCCGCAAACCACCAAGGAGCTCCTCGACATCGCCACCAGCCACGCCTCGGGCGAGGAGGCGGTCGGAGCGATTTTCGACCGTCCCAAGGGCAAGGCGAAGCGGGACGAGGACGTCGGCGAAGGCGCCTCCAACCGCTCCAACAAGAAGAACAAGCAGCGGCGCGAAGGCTCACTCGTGGCCAAGTAAATTTCTACAAGCGAAGTCACACCGGGATCCTGCAGCGCTGCATCCCCATCAAACAAGGGAAGCAGTTGCTGAGAGACCCACGGTGGGGTCTGCGGACACCATGCCGCACCTAGAACCCTAGTCGGAAATGCGTTCCGACAGGGCTTCTACTGGCCGACCGCAGTAGCCGACGCTGAACATATTGTGCGCACCTGCAAAGGGTGTCAATACTACGCTTGGCAGACCCACCTGTCGGTCCAAGCACTCCAAACGATCCCCATCGCATGGTCGTTCGCGATCTGGGGGCTCGATATGGCGGACCTCTCAAGAGAGCGTCCGGAGGCTATACGCATTTGCTAGTCGCAGTATACAAGTTTACAAAATGGATAGAGGCTCGGCCGATCTCCGTGATCAAGTCCGAGCAAGCCATGTTGTTCTTCCTTGACATCGTCCATCGCTTTGGAGTCCCAAATTCCATTATCACGAACAACAGCACGCAGTTCATCGGAAAAAAGTTCCTCCGATTCTGCGATGAATACCACATCCGCGTCAATTGGGCCGCCGTGGCGCACCCCCGCACGAACGGGCAGGTCGAGCGTGCGAACGGCATTGTCCTACAAGGCCTCAAGCCTAAGATCTTCAACCGGTTGAACATGTTTGGCGGACGATGGGTCGCGGAGCTCCCAGTGGTGCTCTGGAGCCTGAGGACGACCCCCAGCCGGCCACCGGCTACACACCCTTCTTCATGGTCTACGGTTCCGAGGCTATCCTCTCGACCGACCACGACTATAGAGCGCCGAGGGTCAGGGCGTACAATGAGCAGGGAGCCGAGGCGTCCCTCGAGGATGCCATGGATCAGCTCGACCAGGCGCGCGACGTTGCCCTCCTCCGCTCGGCTAAGTACCAGCAGGCGTTGCGCCGGTACCACAGCCGTGGGGTGCGGGTCGGGCCTTCAACGTCGAGGCCTTGATACTCCGCCTCGTCCAAAGCAACAAAAACCGTCACAAGCTCTCTCCGCCGTGGGAGGGACCATACGTCATCACAGAAGTGCTCCGACCCGACACCTACAAGCTCAAGACCATCGATGGCAAGGTCTCCGTCAACGCATGGAACATCGAACAACTACGTCGTTTTTACCCTTAGCATATGCATGTACCCATGAAAACTAAGAATAGTGGTGAAATACAAAAATGCTTTCTTTTTCGCTATCTCGTCCTCCATCCTTAGTGACACCCGACCCCAACAACGGCACAAGGCCGGGCCTCACTCGGGGGCTGATAAGAGCATACCTATTCAGAAACAATCGCTGTGCCCGACCCCTTCTCACGTTAAGACCTAAAAGCGAGAGCTTTGGAAATGAACATTGAGTAAAGTTGGTCGGACTGCAAGAAACCTACGCCCCAGCGGCTACGGTGTTCTTGCTCACCAGCGTGATCAAGGTTCTTTCGCCCATGCCTTAAGCTTTGTAGCCTTAACAACGGAAAAAGGGTCGGAATGCAGTAACCTTTTTATAACACAAAAAGAAAAAAGTACCCAAAAAGTTTGTTTGACCGAAACAAAAGAACTAAAACTTGTTCATTTATTACAAGACCACCACTTTGTTTATCTGACTAACTAATTTTTGGGGATGATCTCATCCTCTATCTTGGCAGATAAGTCCTATGCCAAAGGGGCCATCTCCTTCTCGATGTCCTCCAGCTCGGCGTCGGAGATCGTGCGCACGCCACCTCTGGTCGATCCCTCGAAGGACGCGCCAAATGACGGTTTGCCCATTCGATGGGCCGAGAACCCCACAGATAAGGAGGGATACGGAGCTAAAAACGCTCCCACGGCCCATTCAGGCCCAGGAGTTTGAAGGTTGGCCCACCGACGGGTTCACAACCGCTCCAGGATGCCTTTAGAGTGAAGGGTGGAAAGGGATGGGTCCGCTAGCGGCCAGTACCCGGGCGCATGAGCGCCGCAGGCATCCCGGCTCACGTTCGAGTCTTGGTCGGTTCACAGTCCATTGTTTTTCCTCAAAGAAAGGCAGCGAGCCCTTGGGACCGGTCGAACGGACCCAAGAACTATATGGATTGGCCGCCAAGAATCTAGAGTCGGTCACCAGCTGACCCACGCCGGACCCCCGCAAACAAGAAGCCGGGGCCCCACTCGGACTAGCCCGTTAACAGCTCACCGAGCACCATGATTCGTCCATTGAGGAAAACATGGCATGGCTCAGCCCCTCCGTTTTATCGAAAAAACGCTTGAGGGAGGACGATCACAAAACGAGCTGGCCCTTCGACCGGACCCCAGATACGCGCGGGGGCTTGAGGGAAATTGGACTCGTAAGGAGACCGAATACGCGGTCACATAATGATGGCGGATCGATCAGATCATAGGGAGGGATCGGAATCAAAAGAAATCTTTTCTGGCCCCCTGAATCCCGCAACTACATGTTCCCAAGGAGTCCATTCGCGACAGAAGGGAATCGCAACCCTACCAAGACAACCCGCGGGCTACAAATGGAGACCGAGGCCCTCAGGGTCCTCCCGCCTGAAAAAAGCCTCCAAAGGAGTATTCAACTCCTCCGCAGGCTCGGGGACGACTGTCGGGTATCGATATTAGGGATACCCGGAGGAAGTTAACGGCCACGAACGTTAATTCGCCCGGATGGTCCAAGACGTATTTAAGGTCTCGCCCGACCCCGTAGGCGCAGGCCCCGTCTCGCCAGACCACCCCTCGGGCGCGGGCTCCGTCTTGCCCGACCCCGAGGGCGCGGGCCCCGTCTCGCCAGACCCCTCGGGCACGGACTCCGTCTCGACCGACCCCGAGGGCGCGGGCTCCGTCTCGCCAGACCCCTCGGGCGCGGGCTCCGTCTCGCCCGACCCCGAGGGCGCGGGCTCCGTCTCGCCAGAACCCTCGGGCGCGGGTTCCGTCTCGCCCGACGGGGATCCATACCGCCTCCAACCACTACGGGTCTAAGAGTACGACCCCAGGGTCAAACTTCTGACAGCGGGAGGGAAGCGGGAACGTCTCGACGTGACCCGTGGCCACGACGGACCATACCTAGGGGCTCACGTCGTCAATAGCGTCGGGCGTGCCGGCGCTGTACTGCCTAATCCACGTACGGCTTCTAACAGGAGTACCTGTTGACCACGCCGCCCGCCAGAACGGAGTGGAGCGCCGCGACCGGCTGACGACGCCTGCGTATAGCGCCAATGACGAACAAGGCCGCGACGTCGAGCCGTCCCCGTCATCATCTACAGGACCGGCGGGACCCGCATAAAGGAGATGAAGGATGCCGAACCCTAGACACCTTCGTCTCCCTCACTTTTCTCCTTCTCTCTCTCTCTCTCTGTAACATGTGCCTTCCTCTTCACCTATAAAAGAGGAAGCAGAACGCCCCATAAAGGGGAGAGGCACGAGCACACGGCGGAACGAGCTCAACAAGACTCAACTCCGTTCGATCGTTTCACCAGAGACTTGGGACCTTCTCCCTCTCTCGCCCATTTGTAACCCCTGCTACAAACTAGTGCCGGTAACACAAGCAGCAGCAAACTGGACGTAGGAACGTTCCACCCGAACCAGTATAAATCCTTGTGTCCTCCGAGCACACCATCCGGACCAAACGCGCAGATACAAATTTACTAGCCGGTGATCCGAAACACCGACACAAGGGCTCTCCATGTTGCGTGCCCTTGCACCTAGTGATGGTTTTTGCGGCTGATAAGCCGACTAATGTTGTTTTGTTGTGAGAGAAAAACATTGTACCATGGTGATAAGCCAGGCTGATAAGTTCAAGCAAACAGGCTAGGTCATGTCGTGGTCAGTTTATCTTTTTTCACGGGCACAAATGTATATTGAGAACCAAAATGGTGTGAGTGTTTGAACTTTGGGGTTTCTATCCTTCTCTCTTCATACAAAGATACGAGCTCTCCTACGTGTTCCAGAAAATTTGTTTCTACAGTGTGCATATCAGTATACAGTCTTCCAAGGATGTGCTACTAATTATTAGTTATTTGTATTCCAGAATTTAACTGTACAGATCAGTTGCAGAAACATCATCGCTTACTATAAAACGGCATGCCTCAAAAGAGATGATTTGCCAATCCTGGTTTCAGAACTGAAAAAAAGAACCTATCCCGCATGGCCTCATTCTATATATGCGTGAAGACTCGGGGCAGCAACAGGCAGCTAAGATGGGTCCACGGAAAGCGGACAAGGCAGATGGGCCCACGGGACTGAGGTGGCTCAGGAAACAAGGAAAATTTTGAAAAGAAAAACTTACAACATCACCACTCCATCGAGCAGCTATATCAAGTGCTTCACCAAGCACGCCACTAAATTTGGGACGGATTATTGACAGCAAACCATGACCTCTTCTTTTCTGAAAATTAAGCTGAAGTTCTGCCTGCAATAAAAAAATGTTGCGTCATACAATAGGGGATTACTCCACTAACAAAAGTTAGTGATTTTGAATCTTCCGGATTCAACCTGTATGGCCACAAGTCCCAATAAAAGTAAAAGTAAGGAAAAAACTAGAACAATAGGCAAAAGTAACAAAAAAATGATATGGTAGTAAAAAACATTGCAAAAGTAATAAAACAAATACATACACAGTGAACAATAGACAACCTAAAATAGCAGTAAACCAGAAAGTTACATCACTGCAAATAACCATGCCACATTTTATTGGTCGAGGTAAAGTCTTTTTTGATGTAATAGGCTAGCAGTGGTTTTTTGAGTGAGGTGCGGTGTGTGTGGTGTTGTTGTTTTTGGGCTATGGGGTTTTACACCCCTTTTCTTCTTCTTAATATATAATGATACGCAGCTCTCCTGTGTGTTCGAGAAAAAAAAAAATGCCACATTTTCAACTCAACATGTAAATTTGAACTTTGTTCACATGGTCATAGTATAACATTATTAGTGTATTGCAACATGTAAATTTAAATTTTGTTGACATAATCATAGTATAACATTATTAGTCTACTGCATATTGTTGATGATTTGTGTGGCGCTCTAGCCTGTCTACAACAGCTTGCTTGGGATTAAAAGCACTGTAGTCGTCATCGTTGCATATTGTCAATGGCTACACTAATATAACATATCCTTTTTTTCGAAAACAAAGGAGAGCTGCGCTTCTTTGTATTAGAATATAACATATCTTAAGAGGCTAAGACAATATCTCTTAGAAAATTTAAAATAATGCAATCTCAAGAGAAGATATGTCCAAACTTAGATAGGTGAGTAATTTAGTTATAGGTATATGGCACAGCAGCGCACCAAAGAGATCTAATAAACAGATAAAACTCATATACACAACCTGCCCATTGTCCTACAACAAACAGAAAAAAAAATGTCACATTATTATCTAAACTATCATTACCTTCTGAACAAATCCGCGCAATGAAGCAAACTCCAGCTCATCAAGTGTCAAATTCCGAACCTTTAAAACCAGGAAACAAGGCTCAAGAACATGTAGTATTAAAAGTTTGAATAGACTCCTAAAATCTATAGTGATCCATAATAACCACTGGCAAGTAAAATACAAACCATATCAGTGGTGTACCTCTACACTGGTCAAATTCTGAGGATGATAACAGATATTAGATCTCAGCTGGCCCTTTTGGAGGAAAATTGACAGAAGCCTTACATCTTGAATATCCTCGTTTGAAGTGAAAAGCAATGGTCCATTCACTTCTATGGAAAAATTTTCATCAGGCCTGCCAGTAGCATTCAACTGCTTGACCAGGGAATAGAGATTGTAAGAGGAAAATGAACAGGAACTGCAGTGAAGTCCATACTGATACAATACTAAAATCAACATAGAACAAACATACTGCACACTCTATCCATCTTTTTAGAGCAAAACTTCATGTGGAACAAATCATATGCATTCAAGAAAACAAGTTTATGTTTTGTGTAGAACCAATGGGTGCACATGGAACTAAAGATCCTTTAAAGTCTCAAAATTATGATATGCTGTTATTTCAATGAAGCCTCTTTTGCAAAGTTTCTGCAGTACCATGCTAAGATTACTATTTGCTGAAATGTAATCTGTTAAAGTAGTATAAATACAGTATGATTATCAGAAAGAGAAGTGTATTAACTTGGAAAGAAAAATGAACTTGAATGCATATGGACCCCCAAAGTTTGATAAAAATAAACGAATGGAGGACATGTTTTGTTCAGAACTTCTATCCTTGTATTTGAAATTTGCCTTTGATTTGTATTGCAAAGTAAATAGGAGATATGTCGCATTTGAAAAGGTCAAATGTAGGAGTAATTAAACATTAGTTAAGATTATGGCGGATCTATTTGTGCACATAATACCATCATTGCTTTCAGCCATGGCTTCAAGTACATAAAACTAATACACGTGCAAACAGAAAAGGAAAAAAAACTGAATTTGACTATAGTAAATAATCTAGAATCAAAAGAAGCTGGATATGGGGGATGACCACAAGAAACAAACAATTTGATAAGAAATTACCATCATAGAATCCCGTGATATGGAAAGGAAACCAGTAGATTGTGGCGCTAGCATGAGCTGGTTGAGTTTAATTCCAGAAAGAGATATGTCGCCTACAAGCTTTGAAACATTGGTCTCAAGCTTATTTTGGTCAATGTTACTTTGAAGAACACCATTGATATTGCCATCAGCTATATTGATAGATTTCATGATTTTTCCTTGAAATTTGACCCTTCCAGATGCTTTCAAATGTAATGGTCGTGGTGAATCAAAAGGTATTGAGGAGGCTATATGAGCAAACTCAAAGCCTCTCATACGTAAATCCAAATCAACACCCTCCACAATTAGTGGCATGATTTTTTTCATTTGATAAGTCTCCTTGTTCAACAAGTAGTCATCAATATATGATGTTTGAACTCGGGTATTTAAATCGAAGGAGACTGATGAAGAGTTGACCATAATGTAATCATGTGCAATAACAATATTGCCACGTGCATCTGAAAAAGAATCTTCAGCATTGGGTGCAGCCCATTTGATATCAAACTTCCTGTAAGAGATTTGTTGTTAAAAAATTAACAAAAACTAGGACAGTTGACATTAAATTTAAGATACTCACGGTCTAATAAGGGAACCAGAAAGTCTAGTCTCTCCATTGAGCTCTCCAATCTTGAGTGGAATCAGCTGGATTCCTCCAGGAATGTAACGATGCAATACTTTATCAAGTAGAATGGTCCCAGACAAATTAATATCCATAGCAGAATCATCACCTTCCCCCTGTAAAGATTGAAATCTATAACTATATTTTAAATAATGTGACTACTTGTACTGATGAGAAACCGTAGGTTAATTATAATGGATTAAAGTAGCAATACTGCAAATTTATGCTTGCCTTCTTAGGAGCACACTGCTGTTATTTTACTTGTTATTAGGAACTTCAACAGCAAGAAATATAGGCTGTTTGCAGTTGTTTGCTAAGCTCTCAACAATGAATATTCACTGCAACCCCAGGGAAATGAGCAATAGAATGACTTTGATGGCCAGCAAATATATCTTTTATAGCGTCAGAAATTGTGGAAACCTATGGTCCTATGAATGCCCTTTGAGAATTGTACTGAATTAAATCATTCCATACAAATTTTCATCTTTGAGTTGTTATTATATCATCATCTATTAATCATAATTCAAAATCTTTCACTTAGTTCTCATCAGAAATGGCCATTTGGCGCAAACTGAAGCCACTATAGTAGAATTAGAAAGAAGTTAGTCTGACTCAATCAAGCACAGAGGGGTGACTGAATGGAAGTGTAAGACACTACATAACAACAATACCTCTGGGCAAATCCATGCATTACCAGCCCCTCGAATTTCTCCGCCATCCAATAGGCATGCTCTAATACCATATAAATCAGCAACCTGCATCCAGGGATGAGAACTAAGAGAGAGAAATAGTTGCTAAACTCTAAACTTTCAAAGTAGAAGAATTATGACTATATTTGTACTCACGGAGTTGTCAAGGTTGAACGTGAAATTGGCCGATACGTGAGAGAATGGAATATGGTCAAATGCAGCAACTGCACCAGCCTCTTTGTTTTGCATCACAGCTTCAGAAGCTGCAGATGGAGGCATACCAGATACTGAAAAAACTTCCTTGAGACAATCCCACTTCCAACAAAAACAGGAGCATCAAGGGGTCCTTGACAGTTAAATACAGCAGTAACAGAACCGGCCAACTGAACAGATTAAGTTGTGGTATCAGAGGTCAAGTCATAAAAGGGCGAACAGAAACATGGGGCATAGAGGTGTTGAAACACATTACATCATAATTAGGGCCATTCCAAATCATCGTGTACAGGGAAAAAAAAAGTAAGATCCATAACCCACAATGATAATTTAAACTATCATTTTCCTTCATCCAGAGGCTAATTGTTTTCATGCTAAGAACCAAAGCAATATGCTGGCCCCCCCCCTCAGTCTCTCCTTTTGAGGCGGAGAATAGCAACTGTAGCCATACAAATAAGTGAATTCAACCATCAATATCAACCCAAATGGGTTAGCCAGTTAACTATTTGTCCATAGGATGACGACCATACAAATAGAGAGTATATCAACATCTTATCTTTTCTCGCTCTACTAGACATGTTGGGTGTTCAATTTAGCTAACTCCACATATGACTTTTTAAAAAGTAAATTCTCACACTGAATAAGGTAGTGCAAAACTAATTCGCAATATGATATTCCTTACTTACAAAACTAATCAATAATATCCTTGCCTTTTGTTTATTAATTGAAAACTAATATATTCAAATTTTATTTCTACCATACTATAGTTGAACCATCTATGACATTTCCATATATTACCAAGAAATTGAGTCAAAAGAGATCAATCCAGATGCATGCAGAACTGGAATATGATATTACTCCCTTCGTTTTACAATGTTCGTCCATAGCATTTGAGAGAAAATATTCCATATTGTTTGTCATAGAAGATATCCTTATTAGAATACTTCCACATGGTTTGGTCTACGGTATGGTGTGCTATGGACAAATATAGTGAACATAGGGAGTACCAGAGATAGAGGGAGTACCAGAGGGCACCCGCAATGGTATAAGCCAGTTACTAGCTCTAAGCCAACCTCTTTAATAGTGCTAGCTTTTAGCAATGGCTCATAGTATGATTAGGCCCACATGACACTCTCACATGATCTTGGAATGTGTGTATGAGCATAGCTCTTGATCAAGAGCTAGCTTTTCTCTCTCTTCTATTAAAATATAAAAAAAATGCTTAGAGCTAGCTTATGAGTCAGCCATTGCGGGTACCCAGAGAGAGGGAGAGGAGTGGAAGGTAGAGGGAGAGGGAGAGAATGTCATACCGGGAACATAAGAGGTTTCATTTTCATTGTCCTCATAAGTGCATTAACTTCAACGGATGGAACCTGAAAATAGAATAAAAGTTACCAAAAGATGTAAGCATTGCTGTTTAGGAAACTTTGTATATGAGATGAGATGACACCGTGTATTAGAACAGTTTATGGTACCTGGCACATTAGATGAAACTCTCCATCCTCAGGATTTAGTCCCAAATCTCCAGAAGCTTCAACTGGAGCATCACCAAACCACCCACTTGCATTGTGCAGAAATACTCTTTGACCACGAAATGATAATTTTGCCACTATATCCTGAATATATTCAGGCTTATTATTAAAGGGTGGTAACTACACACTTGCAATGTTTCCAGCACTAACATTTCCAAAGACTTTATTCCATCGAATATATGGGTTTAAATGTAAACGTACAGAAAATGATGATGGGGCATCCAATATCTGAAAAGCTAGACCTTTCACATCAAGCTGACCATGAATGCTTGGAAAACTGTCACCCTTTGACATACAAATATGCACCTGTAATAAGCATACCAAATGGTCAAGCATGGTATAAGAAAGCTTCATGAGAGATTGGTGTTTTTGGCGTGGCTAACAGTAAACCCTATTAAGTTCAGCCACTCATCCAGAGCATGTGAGAAATCACATCTCCACTTGTTTTAAAAAAAAGAACATGTAACAATGCAAGCAGTGGAAAAAGGACATGTAAGAGATCATGCTTAGCAAAGTACCTCACCGGTAGCTCTTCCTTTGTGCCAAACAATAGGTATTTCTAAAATTCTTTCAAACAGCTGCACATGAAAACTCCTTTTCAACACAGAAACTAAACTTTCAACATCATTTGCTATTAAGCAGAGATAATTCGATAATAAAACTATGGTAACAAAGAAATCATAAAAGCAGTATCATTACCGGAGCAAATGCATCGACTACATTGAGATTAGCATGCCATGTTTCCTCAGCTATGTCAACAAATACATCTGTAGAAAGATAACCCCCTCCTTGAGAAGATCGGTCTTGCCTCCACTCCATGCAATTCCCAGTTACATGCACGTGTACACGATTATAATTGTTTTTGAACTTGACATGTCCACTAGCATGCTTCATTTCTCTACAATACACACGCAGTCAGTGCAAACAAAGTAGTGGGCTCATTCAAAATGCAACAAAGTAGTGGGCTCATTCAAAATGCCAATACTACATACTCCTCTAATTGCGAGCAATTCCTCTCCTCCCCAAACCTCGCTATAATATAGTGCATTCTACACCCTCCTCCGCCATTTTAGGATAGATTATGAGAGAACACAATAGACGCCATGTGTCCTCACTTTATTTTCTAATCGAGGCTGACTTTTGCATCACTATCCGACTCCAACCTCAATGACCCGGCTCCGCCCAGGCCAGCTGTTGTCTCAACATAGCCACTCGGTCCCAAGCCCCACAGTAAAGGAGGAGGGTTGTGATAGGCGCGGCGACCATCACCGCCAACCTTAAATCTAGCCATTCTAATGGAAATGAAACCCGAAAACAAAACCGCCCGAGAACCTCTCACTTTTTGCTGGCGTCCTCCTCAACCCTCTTAGCGATCCGCGCCATATCGAAACTTCGGCGCCCACGGTGGTGTTAAATGAGCAAGGGCGGGTCGTCACAGCAGCAGCAACAGGGTTTGATCCCGTGGCGTGTACCTCCACAGGCGCGACGTGTCGTCGCGGGTTTGATCCTTGGGCACGGTGTCAAGTGAGCAAGGATCGGGTCGTCGCATCCTTAGTGGCGCACTACATCGGCGCTACGGCGTTCGGGTGTAGTGAAAAATGAGCAAGGGTCTTCACATCTCCACATGACGTCTTCCGAGTCAACGGGTTGGAAGGGTAAGGTCACTAGTCCACAAACCAACTAGGATCCGTTTTAGGTAGTTGGAATGTCTTGGTTTTTCTTAAGCCCGCTTTAAAGAGAATTAGTTGATACCGCCTCGGCCATCCAGCCCCTGCTGCATAGGAGGTGTGTAATAAAGTAAATATTCATGCGTTCAAGAGACTAAATGGAAGGGTCGTTGAACTAATTCATTGTGATGTTTGGACCTCTCCCATCCCTAGTATATCTGGTTTTCATACTATTTAGACAATACAATCTTGTTGGTTTCAAGCTTTGGCACAAGGCCCACCAACACTTAGTTGAGCTCACAGCTCTTGCATTTAACCTCCTCAAAAATGCTTCCAAATAGGAGTAGGAGTTTTGATTGATAAGCAACAACTCAATTGGAAGGGCCGCCATCTTTGGGTGAGGCTCTTTTCACTGCACGCTACTTACTCGGGATTATTTATCCCATGAGGTTCCCTTCACACTACATCGTTTTCGCCTTTGGTCTTTGGGTGCCTATGCTACCCAAACCTTTGTTTTTCTTTGGTATCCATCCTCTCATAAAGTTATCGGTGTCTTAACACGACAACTCAACGCATCATTATTTCTGATCGTTAGGCGTCATCCCATTCCCTCGCTCTCCGGTTTCTCACAACGATTTGGTTTGGTGCCTTGCTCTCTCTGTTCCTGCGGTGGAGGTCCCTCAGCGACCCACAGTTGCTCCGGTCCACCTTGGGCGCAATGAGCAAGCTTTAACAGAGCCTCAAGAATAGTGTGGTGGGAGTGAGAAGGCAAGGAGATAGTATTATCTTAGTCAAGCTTGTCATTGGTGAAATGGTCTTGAACGTAACTAGTGCGTATGCCCCCAAATAGGCCTCTCACCTTGATCCGAGAGTGCTAAGAGACAGGATTAGAATGAGAAGACTTAGATGGATGGACGATTAGAGTCCTCCTGTATCTAGTAGTGAGAAGCTTTTATAGGAGATCTTAATGGGCATGTAGATACTACAAGCTTGAGTTTCGAGGAGTTCGCCATGAGGCGCCGTCGCCGTCCGACCGCACTTCTCCAACGGGAGTTTTGGTATGGTAGTAGGAATCGGGGGGGAAGGAAGTTCTCGACTTCATGGGTAGCTTTGACTGATGATAGCCAACACTTTCTTTAGAAAGAGATAATCTCATCTAGTGACCTTGATGAGCGGACAACACTCTAGCTGATTGACTTTGTCCTCATGAGAAGAAAGGACAAACGAGCATGCTTGGGTTGCAAGGTGATACCAGGAAGAGTGTGTTGTTTCTCAACATAAGCTTTTGGTGACGGACTTTCGTTTTTAGTGCGTGCCCTTTGTTAGTGAGGGATAAACAAGCTAAGATTGAAAGAACAAAGTGGTGGAAATTGAAAGGGGAGACGCCTTACGATTCAGGTATTCAGGGAAAGGGTTATCAAAGAGGGCTCTTGGAAGAAAGAAGATGACATAAACAAATGTGGGGAGAAGATGGCAACCAACATTGAAGGTGGCCTCGGAGGTGTGTGGAGTAACCAAAGGAAGTGGAGGCGAGGCTAAAGATACTTGGTGGTGGAACGAGGAAGTCCAAAGGGCTATTAAGGAGAAGAAAGAATGCTATAGACGCTTGTACCATGACAGGAGTGTGAACAACATAAAGAAGTACAAGGTGGCAAAAAAGACTGCAAAGCGAGCAGTAAGTGTGGCAAAGGGTAGAGCGTACGAGGATCTTTACCAACATTTGAGTACGAAGGAAGAAGAGAAGGACATTTATAGGATGGCTAGTGTTCGTGAGAGAAAGCCAAGGGACTTCAACCAAGTTAAGTGCATTAAGGATGAAAGGGAGCATCTCTTGGTGAAGGAGGATGAGATCCGACATCGATGGCAAGAGTATTTTGACAAATTGTCCAATGGTGAGAATACGGACACAACCTTCAGTTGGATGACTCTTTTGATGACACCAATAGGCGCTTTGTGCGAATAATCCAAAAATCTGAGGTCAGAGAGGCGTTGAAAAGGATAAAAGGAGGTAAGGCGATGGGACCGGATGGTATCCCAATCGAGGTGTGGAGATGCCTTGGGGACATAGCTATAGTATGGCTAACCAAGCTGTTTAACCATATTTTTCGATCGAACAAGATGCCTGACGAGTGGAGGAGAAGTATATTGGTACCGATCTACAAGAATAAAGGGGATATTCAAAGTTGTACTAATTACCGAGGAATTAAGTTGATGAGCCATACTATGAAGCTATGGGAGAGAGTTATCGAGCATCGCTTGAGAGCAATAACGCGGGTCTCTATAAACCAATTTGATTTTATGCCTAGAAGGTCAACCATGGAAGCCATTTTCTTAATAAGACAAGTTATGGAGCGGTATAGGGAGAAGAAGTACCTACACATGGTTTTTATTGACTTGGAGAAGGCTTATGATAAAATACCAAGGAATGTTATGTGGTGGGCTTTGGACAAACATAAAGTACCAACGAAGTACGTCGGGCTCATTAAAAACATGTACAACAATGTTGTGACTAGTGTTCGAACAAGCGATGGAAACATAGATGACTTTCCGATTAGTATAGGACTACATCAAAGGTCAACTTTGAGCCCTTATCTGTTTAACTTAGTGATGGATGAGGTCACAAGGGACATACAAAGGGACATCCCTTGGTGTATGCTTTTTACGGACGATGTAGTGCTACTTGATGAAAGTTGGACAGGAGTGAATTAGAAACTGGAGTTATGGCGGGAGACTTTGGAGTCCAAAGGTTTTAAACTCAGTAGAACTAAAACTGAGTATATGAGATGTGACTTCGGCACTACTACTCGGGAGGAGGAAGATATTAGTTTGAAATGTCAAGTAGTGCCTAGGAAGGATATATTTCGATATTTAGAATCAATGCTATAGAGAGACGGGGATACCGGGATATTGATGAAGATGTTAGCCATAGAATCAAAGCAGGGTGGATGAAGTGGCGCCAAGCATCTGGTGTCCTATGTGACAAAAGGGTACCACAGAAGCTAAAAGACAAGTTTTATATGACGGCGATTAGACTTGCTATGTTGTATGATGCAGAATGTTGGCCTACGAAAAGACGACATGTTCAACAGATAAGTGTCGCGGAAATGCGTATGTTGCGTTGGATTTGTGGTCATACAAGAAGGGATCGAGTTCAAACGATGATATACGTGATAGATTAGGGGTAGCACCAATTGAAGAAAAGCTTATCAATACCGGTTGAGATGGTTTGGACATGTCCAACGGAGACCTCAAGAGGCACCGGTGCGTAGTAGAATCCTAAGCCAGGATAGTAACGTGAAGAGAGGCAGAGGAAGACCGAAGTTGACTTGGGTAGAGGCAATAAAAGGAGACTTGAAATGATGGAATATACCCAAAGACTTAGCCTTAGATAGGAGTGCTTGGAAAACAGCTATTTACGTGCCTGAACCTTGATTGCTTCTGTTGGGTTTCAACTCTAGCCTACCCCCAACTTGTTTGGAACTTAAAGGCTTTGTTGTTGTTGTTGTTGTTGTAGACACTATCATCAACATGATTAATGGTGATTGGTTGATAAATGGCAAGTAACAATATAATACCTACCAAATTTATGCTACTATTTAATGCAAAGTGTTTTCTGCCCCATAGAATCCCTTATATTTGAGTATAAATTTTGAATGCTTGTATGCGCTATATTACAGGATGGAGGGACTATGATCAAACTTCGAGCTGAAAATAGTTTCAAACCTACAGCATAACTTACATTTCAAAAGATTACAGAATTGTGCTGGCAGACTAGGGTAAGAAACATCACAGTGCATTCTGCATACCCAGACTGTGAGTGTGATGCTTTAGCAACTTTACTGTGGAGTGGTAATTTATAAGATCGGTTATAGGTTAATACAAATATGAAAGCCTAAGTTGAAAATATTTATCGTTCACAATGTCGCAAGTTGATTGGAGATAATGTGCTAGGAAGATAAAACAAACTACAGAAGACCACATATCTGAAACAAAGATGTTAAATGAAGACGTCACACCTGGGTTCTTGATCACCATATCCCAGAAGCATCAAGTTACCTCCATTGAAATAGACAGAATCAAGGGTGATTAGAAGTGCATTCTGAGCGCCACCAGGATGGATCTGACTAGCCCCTTCTGTAAGTTCAGCAGAGAAATCTCCAGGACCAATAGCAAATTGTGACTTCAATTTCTCAATTTTAAGATCCAGAGATGCACAAGGTCCATTAAAACTGACAGGAAAACTCTTTAATTGGAACGGCCAAAATGGCACCCAGTTGTGAGCATGCGTGCATGAACCGAAATCCCCAAAAATAATCTCTTGCTGTGGAACAAGTTTATTTTCAGAAGGATTCTTGGCCTGACCGATCTGCAGATCTTCCAAATTGTGCCATAGTAACAAGTTGTCCAAATTACTTGAACTGCACTGACTAGATAGTTGATTATGCGATGGGGATTCAGCCAAACTGGCTGATGCAGTCTTAGAGTTGCTGACAGTTTCATCATTTGAAGTGATTCCACTGCCACCAACATTGGCATGACCATCATCCGATGAGCCTTTTCCTGGTTCAGGGGATGAATCATCAATATTAATGCGACCTTTGTTCTGAAAATATGCTACAGCAGCGTCTGCACTGCGTCTAAGAATCCTTTGCTGAGAAGAATTATCAACATCTGGAATAACCTTACTGAGAGCCTTCCTCCTGTACCTGAGCCTACTAGAGCTTGAAATCACCCTAGACCAGAGGTTAATCCCAGGAATGCGTGATTTGAAGCCAAAAGACTTCTCCAAATCTCCATGCTTTGAACCAGAGTCGATGCCTGTTGCCAAGTGATGATCCTTCTTATGCATTTCATCGGCGCACACGGGTGGACTGGACTTCCCAATCTCGGTAGTCCCATCAACCTCCAGAATCTCATTAGTGGGCAGAGAAACCGATTGGCCACTAGGAATGGTGTATCCCTTTTCAGCGGCTTCCCTTGCGGCTTGATCCCTCTCCTCGTTCCATTGCTCCGCGGCCTTCTCCCTGGCAAGCCTCCTCGTCTTGGTGCGGTAGTCTATGCCCTCCTCCCCGTAGTGCCTCTTGACCGTGCCCTCGGAGGGTGGGGGGATCCCGAGCCACGAGAAATCCTTCTTCTGTGCCACCAGCGCGGAGGGCTCGGACAGCACGGCGTCCACGACGACCCTTCCCCTCCTGATGCTGGCGAAGGGGCGTACCCTAATCTTCATGACGGGCACCTCGGCGCAGGAGAACTCCTCCGCGTGCGGGCCGATGGAGCAGGTCTGCAGCGTGATCCCGAGCGGCGAGACGCTGCGCACCTTGCCGAGGCGGACCTCCCGCTGGAGGTACTCGCTGAGCGCGGCGCATGCCGCGGGCAGGAGGCGGGCCTCGACGAAGGAACGGGCCCGGAGCTGCGCGACCCAGGAGAGCGCGGCGGCGACGGAGACCACGGCGGCGAAGACGGAGCAGCGCACGAGGAAGAGCCCCTCCCGCCATACCGGCGCGAGCGAGCCGATCAGGGCCCGCGGCACCGGGAGCAGCGACGGCGCGGAGCTGTGGTGGGCGTGGGCGCGGTGGTTGCTGCGGTGGGCGTGGGCGGCCTCGGCGGGGGGATCGCTGGAGTCGGAGACCTTGAGGCGGAACAGCGGCGGCGGGTCGAAGCGGGCGAGGGTGAAGAGGGGGCGCGAGGTCAGGTGGAGGCTGCGGCCGCGCGGGCGCCGTCGCCGGCGCGAAGATGGGCAGTGGGAGAAGAGGAAGGGCGACGGCGGCACGAGGACGAGTGAGGCGCGGAGGCAGTGCGACATTGGGTGGGGAGGGAGCGAGCGGCGCGTCGGCCTCGCGCGCCTAGGTGACCATTTGCGTGCGGCGAGAGGAAGGGGAGGGAGGGGGAGAGTAGTGGTCTGGGCGCGGGGCGAGGCGACAGGTGATGCGAGGGAGATGCTTGCCTTTCGCTGGGACCATTTCGTCGTCGCGCACTCGCGCTGCTGGCTTCTGGGTGAGCAGTGTCTTCTCGTTCTCGAGTTCGAGTATTCTAGCGAAAGCTTAGCCCAGCTTTCGTTTCCACGCCTCGCCTCAGTTTTCTTCTATCCCTTTTTCTTTTTGTCTTTGGGTAGTGTAATGGTTTCTGAGAATTTGGTCTCTTTTATTTTGGCAGTTGTTTTGTCTCTCCAGTCAACTAAATTTTTCCCATACACTTACACCGTCTTTTAGCTATATTTACAATGATTTCTTCCGTGTAATTTATTGGACAGAGTGATGTAAGTTAGGAATAACATAAATATATGTCATTTTTTCAAAAAAAAATATAAATTATTTCTATGGATTCCAGACATCAAAGAAATATATGTCAAATTATTCATAAATTCTTCACAAAATTCAAAAAAAATACAAAATCTTCACAAATTTTCAAAATGTCGTGCCACGCTGCCGCCATCGACGCCGACATCGGGGAAGGCATAGCGTCCGGCCTCGGCTAGTACTGCGAGATATGGTACTGCCACATCTGTTGTTGTTGCTGCTGCTGCGGCGGCTGTGTCGGCATGAGTTGCTGCAGCTGCTTTATCATCATCGCCGACAAGGTCGCGGCGGGGAGGCCGACGCGCGGGCCGTACCCCAGGCTACACACGTGCTGTGGCATTTGCGAGTCCACCCAGAGATGAGACAAACGTGATCGATCAGATCCAACGCTCGAAGGGCAGGGGCGCGCGTGACGCAGGCGGTAGATCGGGTGGCAGCTCTCGGGCCGGAGTCAGATCCAACACTGAAAAATTTAGTTGATAGTGGCAAATAAATCATACGGTTGACATATAGCGTTTCCATTATTTTATTAGTTGTCGCATCTAATAATCAACCGATCCACAGTATGCAATGCGAGTGATCGTTTGTCCAATTGGAAAAAGGTTGCACCAGCTTGCACAAGGCAGTAAAATATTACGGTCAATTTATCAGTGGGCTGACATGAATCCCAACGAAATTGTCAAATTGGTAGCACATTTCAGCAAAAACGAAACGGGATACATCACATATATATTTACAGAAATCAGTTCAATTTTATAGTGAAAACGGAAGGGAAAAAATCTCATGTTCCAAGCAGGCCTCAAAGGTACTGTATGTGGTCTATAGGAATAGAAAAGGTATATATAAGATAAGATAAAGAAATGAGGCTGAGGATATTTTTTTTTTTTTTGACTGGCTGAGGATAATTTTGGCAAGTGTAGCCACCGCAGTAATGCAAGAATTGGAACATGGGACTACAGGAGGTGCCGGAATAGCCCTGACTGGCCATGTTGTCCATGAAGTTTTCATTGGATTGATGAACAATTTAAAACGCAATTACACCACCGTTTTGCAACCACAAAGGCCTTTCATGAATTCTGAAATAAAACTCAGAAAGGCACTTCCCAGTCAAAAATACGACAACTCAAAAAAGTTTTATTGTGAGTCCAAAACGAACAAGGGGATATCAAACTCAGAGCACCCAAACTTTATGCCCATTTACCGCACGGGCTGCTGGTTGTAATGACTCTTCTCTTTCTTCTTGGCCGCCGCAAGCCTTGCGCTCCTCGCTGCGGCCTCGACAGCGGCAATTTTGGCAGCTGTGTCCATCTCTTTGCTCGATTTCTTCTTCTTCATTGAAGCCATCTTCTTTAAGCGCTCCTTCACGTCCACAGCAGTGGTATCTTCATCAGGTCCTGCACTGGCAGTCTCCTCTGACCCATCAGCTGCTTCTTGTGTTTCTTTTCCCTCCTTCGAATTCTTGTCCTTCTTTTTCTTCTTCTTTGAGGTCTTGCTCTCCGAAGGGGCAGGAGCATCTTCCTTTTTCTCTGCATCACCAGTTTGGTTGGCACCTTTCTTCTCAGCTGCAAGAAAATATAGCATGAGAAAATTGAGTCCATACGAACAACAAAACCACACGAGAGCTATTGAGATCAGGCTGTTTTAATGGCAGTATGTACGATTCTTACCATCCTGTGCAGCGCTGCTCGAATTCCCAGAAAGTCCCAGCTCAGCCAATACTGCATCAAGTTCTGCTAGTTCCTTCTTTTTCAACTCCTTTTTAGACAGCTGCCTTTCAGTATCTTTGGGTGGCGCAGCCAGGGCTGCAGCTGTCTTCACAGCAGGCTTGGCTGGGGCATCTTTCGCTTCATGCTCAGGTTCATCCTCAGCTCCATCATCAACCTCATCATCAATGTCCTCATCATCACTCTCAATGTCCTGCAGCATATACAGAAGCAAATACATCTAAGAATACTATCAGAGGCTAACTATAAGGACAATCAGCCAAACATGTTCCATCTCCCTCAACATGAGTAAATTATTCTTCCACTTAACAAAGTTCAATTTCAAAGCAAAATTTCTGAAAGAAAACAAGTAGAACAATAACCAGAGTTGCTATGACAGACAAGAAGCACCTGTCATGTATAACCATTTTCAAATCACTTGCTTAGCCAAGATATAGAAAAAGTTGCAACAAGTCCCTGTCCAAGGTGCTTCTTTTCTTTTCTTTTTCTTTAGCAGGTGGTTTATCTCCAACGGTATTAGTACAAACACATCTTGTAAAGAGCATCACTGTAGCTAACTAGAACTGGAATCCTAAGGGTAGTGAAGAAAACGTCCATACACACGACGAGCCTCTTTAATTCCTTACTGTCAATATGCGATATTATACAGCTACCCAGAATTCTCGCACCTGTTGCTGAATCCATTAATTGCCAAAAAAAGATAGTATGGGCTATATAACGATATGGAAATTAATACACCGCTTTGCCAATTCTGCTTATGCGACATAACTACGCCGTGTCGGTTTGTCAGCTAAGCATATGCTGTACAACAAGACAATCCTTCTATCACCAAATCAAAGGACAAAGTTATTCACGTGGTACGCCTACAGCACTTTGCAGCTGAAATTTAGCGTTTCAATACCTACACCAACAATTGATTGCCATATTGCGCACACGACACACGGCCAAGGGAAATAATTGCATCCGTTACCGACACCAATAGAACGGCACAATGCACACGTAAACCTAGAGAATTAGGGTTCCGCGCCAACTGTCAACTAACCAGTACGCATAGATTAAACAGCAACGAACAGTCTGAAAGCATAAGAACATTTCATAGGCGCATTCCACAACCAAATCACAGGGCACATAGAGAAGGTGGGGGAAATAGACCTCCTGAAGGGCGGCGCGCACAGCATCCTCGACGTCCTCCTCCTCCTTGGCGGGCTCGTCGGCGGTGCCCCAGACGGGGGGCGGCGGCGCGGTGGTGGCGAAGTAGTCGTCGTCGTCGTCGTCCTCGACGTCCGCCCACGACTTGGTGGTGAGCGGCGCGGGCGCCCAGAAGAGCTCCTTCTGCGGCGGCTCCTGCTGCTGCGCGGCGCCCTCGCCGTGCTTCTTCCTGGAGGATGACCCGGCCGCCTTGCCCTTGTCGCCCTTCTTCTTCTTCTTGAGGGACTCGAGCGCCGCGAACACGTTGCCGGTGTTGAGTTTCACCTCCTCCGCCGCTCCGCCCCGCCTCCCCCCGCCCACCATGCTCCCCGACCGCCGCGGTGAACCACAGCGAGGAGACCCGAGCGAACCGCGGACCCGAATCTGAATCTGCCCCGCCCGCCGATCTGCGGGGACGAATCGTCGCGGGAGGGTCCTCGCCGCCGGGGGATCGGACTTGGATTGGGATTCGGGTAGGGACGGAGGCGCGGTTGCTAGGGTTTTGAGATGGGTGGAGGCTGGAGAGAGAGGCACGGTGGTTTGCTTTGCTGCCGTGCTTTGCTACCTATCGCTAGCTACAATTCTATCCACCCACACCAGCGTTACGCATTGCCAGACGGCACACGCCATGCGCTGTGGTGCGGGTGCCGTGCCACGGCTGCCTCGTCCTCCCGTCCATGATGCGGAGTTGTTGTGGACGTCGCTGACCCTGAACCTGTCGTAGAATCGACCCAGAGTTTCCACAACGCATGGACCTTGTAGAAATGTCGCCGAGCATAGTGGAATAGTACGCTATAAAAGAGCGAATAATTTATGGGGGCTATCACTGTATAATAACAGTTCGATCTATGCGCCGTTCTATATGAACCATCCATCATACGTGATTTTACTCTTCCTCTATAACAACCGTTCGATCTACACGTCGTACTATATGAGTCATTCATCTTCCGTGATCTTACATATAAGATGTAAGACTCCTATTCAATCTCAAATACGTCTACCGGAGTCCATATGTTCCACGTCTCTTGGTTTGTTGGCCCTAAACCGTGTCTGCCCCATGGAAACCGTGATGTAACTTCCAACATCGTCCTCCTTCACCCGGATAAGTATCGCCCTATGCGCCAAATTAATTAGGGTCCGTTTGGATGTAGATGTCGGAGACGATGGAATTGAACTGGTACCATTACCAAATCAGGCTAGTATTGAAAATAGACTAAATACCAAATCTGTTGTTTGGATATAGATGAATTTGCTAGCTGGAACAGTGACACATCAAATACTATTTCATGTTTGGATGTACACCTCCAGGAATTCACTGTCTTCTTCCCCAATCCCCACCACTAGCACGACGGCCTCGAGCGCAGAGGTGGAGGTGGCCTTGGCCCCAGCCATGGGCACGCGCGGGTGGAGGCGGAGGTGGCCTCGGCCCTGGCCTCGGCTTCTAGCCTTGCAGGGGGCGGAGGTGGCCCGCCCCGTGCAGACGAGCTTCTGGGCGCCAAGGCGGCCCGACCTCGGCCATGACGAGCTCTCGAGCTGCGAGGCGGAGGTGGCCACGCCACCACAGGCTGGGGCCCGGGTGTGGTGGTGTGTCTTCTTGCATTAGGCGTGGGACCAACGGCCATGGGGAACAGAAACGGAGCTCGCGCCGCCGGCCATGGGGAAGAAGAAGGGGAGGTGCACCGCCGGCCATAGGGAAGAAGAAGGGGAGGTGCTCCGCCGACCATGGATGGAGAGCAGCAGCGGGCTAGCCGAGTTGGAGGAGTTAATTTCAGCCAATACAGAGGGAGAGAGCTTCGTATTGGAGATGAGGGAGCACAGGCTTCGTGAATACCGATTGTCATTGAGGATGAATATCAATTCCCAAATTTAAACCATCCAAACGGCTGTATTCGAAGATAGCCAATACCAATTCCAATTCTGAGGCCTAAATATCTACTTCCAACGGGGTGTAGCTTTTTCTCTCCCGTCGAAACCGAACTCCAACTCCTGGCATCGCTTCAAAACTGCTCTTCGTCGCTCATACAGCTTTCTGAAACCAGGACGCGTGGCATGGGGGAGGCAAGCGTCCAGCCGACGGGGAGGAGCGAAGAGGATTTACAATGCTGTTGTTAATGGTTTGATTGCCGAGAGAAGAGACTAGATCAAGCTGCTTTTGCTCACAATGCTTGGTCATCGGAGAGAACAGGAGCAAGCCTTGCTTGCTTTTCTAGGCTACTCGCCGAGTCACCGGTAAAGGATACATGAAAAGCAAGGAGACGTGAGCATTGATAAATCTCTAAACCTCTCATTTTAATAAGAGTTACATGTACAAAGTATAAATTGAAATATATGACGTAGTTGTTGAATAAATTTCTAAGCCACAAGTCGTCTAGATGACTGCACAATAATTTTACACTCAGTTACAATGCACGGGCATATTTGTGTAAGACTCCTAGTGCGATATGTAAAGAAAAAAATCGGATTGGTTCATGAGTCCTCATCCGTCACGTATGCTATACGTGTCCTTAAAAGATTTTGAAGCTGTTATTTGCCTTGCTGGTTGCCATCTTTCTGCGTTTTCCTGTCTTTTGTGCTCTTTGCTTACACGAAGTTTTGTTTGTTTGACGGTAATCCTTGGAATATTGTGCTGGCTTTTATTGTATTTGGTTTCAACTGACGCCCAGCCGCCAGGACCTGTGCTCCCGCATACGCCGCTGAGGACCGCCATGGTACATCTGGAAGCTCGGGTGCACGATCGAGTTTCGAGTCCAGGCCCAAGGCCGCCATGCAGACCAGGCTCGATCTGCTAAGTACAAGGCGCTAGACGATGCCAAATTGTACTGCCTGCAATGAGTTTCCCGTGGCACACATGACTGACGTGAATGAGCAAACCTAGCAGGTCGTAGATTATTTATTTGTCTATTCATGTATGTATCCTATACTTAATATATGGTTCTATTGTCACAGATTGATGTTGATGGCGACAATCTTAGCAAGAGATAATTACTTCATAATTTCATATTCATATATAATTTGGACAATATATTATTAATCGAAACAATAAACATGTGCGTGTTGCACATGCATATTTCCTAGTAACAGTGCTAAAAGCAGGAGAAAAGTCATGTAATAAAAAACAAAAACAAGAATCTAAGCGCGAAGGATGCATCATCCACGATGCTAGGATTCACCTATGTTTAGCCCCGTTCGTTTCGCTGAAAAAAAAAGCCAAAACACTGTTTGTTGTAAAGAAAAAATATTATTCCGGCTGAAAAAACAAGCTAAAAAAGACAGATTATTACCTCAAAATTAGTGATGGCAGGACAGATATCCTACCTCAAAATTAGTGAGACAAACAGCAGATACCAGGACCAATGTGTGCCCGAAATAGGGGGCACACTCCCGTGTCCGTATAGCGATCTGACAAAGACGAGCAGCAGCTTTGTATGCCACCAACTACCTATTACCGTTTGGCGAAATGATACATCAAATATAGTGGAGACATTGCCAATCAAGAGTAACGTATCAGTACTGGAACTCCTCCCAATTTACATGACCACAAAGGGGTGAACGATTGCTTATCATCCAGGGTGAAAATTGTGTACACGGTGTAGTATGATATAAGTAAAAATAAAAGAATACTACGCATAGCAGCCAGAGCATCTCAAGCGACGAAGAATATGAAGATCATGAGGAACACCATCAGCACAAAGAATATCTTCATCATCAGCCACCTGTTTGATGAAATGCTGTTGAGGTACTTCAGGAGCTGGCCCTGTGCTCCCTCCACATTAGTCAATGTGTCATCCATGTTGTCGTCAATTCTGCCATGGCAACCCATCAATTAATACAATATAGCCAATAGGGCACATCAATTCCACACCAATGCAATACAATAGGGGCAGTGAGGACTGATAATACAGGAGATGTTTGGGGATAAGGTCCAGGAAGATATATGCTCCTACCAATGCCAAACTTATCATGGATGCCACGAGATTCTAATCAGCCAGGTACAAAAGTTGGTTCGTTTTTTCCCTGATCATAATTTGGCACATAGTGTACCATTTAAGGTCCCTTGACCATGCTTGTGCCACAGTGCCATGGAAATGTTCACGTGCCCAAGGACTGTCTTGACCCTTAACAACAGTCTCCACCTTCCTAATGGACCATACCTTACGATCGTAAATTTTCAGCCGAACAGTTTTTTCTCTCACACTCAAATAAATAATCCACGATAGAAGTCCAAGAATCCAAGAATAATAGATAGGATACTAGTTAACTTAACCTTATCCTCATAATCTAATTACTTATTAAGAAAAATAGAAATTCCAAACCCTATCTAACCCTGATGCTTCCATTAGGTACTGTTCAAGTGCCAGAGTCACTGCTTACAAGCCCAAACAACCAAGCAGCCAGCAAATTCTCAAATTCATTGTCAACATTTCAGACAATGTTCCTCTTTGATGCGGCCATAAGATTCTCTAGGTGAGGTCATGATATATTAACACTAATGCTCACCCTTGAACATATTAACACTATAAAATTAAGATACGGATTTAAGTTCAAGTGAGTTTTTATTTCATGGACAATAGATGGAATAGAATTTGGATGAGGAAGTTCACCTGATTGCTAGCTCTCCCTGTTGATTAACCATGGTTGCTAACTGTGTAAATATGTTGCTCAGCTCATGGATTGTTGATTCCACATTTTGAAGAGCCTCAGCTCTGCTCTGCATATAACTGTCCTGCTGTACTGCCAATTGCTGCTGCTGTGCAAAAGGCTGAGATGATGATGATGATGCCCCATGGTCTCCATTAGTCTTCTTCCTGGTGAATGGGAGCACAAATTTAAGAACAGAACTCTAAAAGCACACAAACAATGGTTTGCATGGCCAAGCAATAGATGCATTCGACCATAAAGTGTTGGTCTAGCCAATTTATATAAAATAACTTCAGGGTGGCCATAGAGACAACAAATAAAAAAGATTAGCTTATTACAATATGTACATGTGTGTGACCTCAACTAGCAATACAGACAGAAATGTGAACCCAAATGAACCAACCTGTGTCCGCATGGTAAATAAAAAATTTCATGAGTAAGCATTGAGTTGAGGTTGTTCCATCAAACTAGTAACCTAGAAAATACTAAAATAAGAAGTGCAACAAACAATACATACCATTGAATTATTGTAACCATGATTAGTGTCAATGTTGATGTACTTGGTCAGACATGAAGAATTTTATGGAACAGTTTCTCTTTTGTACCACATTACCTACATGATAGCAGACAACTAAGGTGATTTTGAATAGACTAAAGCAAGTGAGACGTTAGCAGCCCAATGCCCA